GTAAAAAATATTTATTTACCTTAAAAATAAATAATAATTATTAATTTAAGATAAATTTAAAATAAAAAAATAAAAGTTATTTTAAGATAAATTAAGTATATGTAAGTAAAAAAATTATCAATTTTCCTATGGTTAGACTTTTATAGAATATTCCTTTTGTTCTGAAATAATATACCTTTTTATTTAGAATTTATCTCAAAATTCCTTTCCCTTAACTAATGTACCATTCTAGCCTTCTGGGTGTTTGTCTTAAACACAATGTGATACTCAGACATGCTGTGTCCAGTTTCAGGAACCATGATTTCTATCTTGTTTCTCATCTGGGTCTGGACCAGTTTAGGCCTTGCTCAACAATACTATGATCCATCAGGTTGTTCATCAGATGCCAACAACCCGGTTCAAGATATATATACTTGCAATTCTTCTTTAATTTCTCAGACCTCTTGCAGAACATTCTTATTGTACAGAAGCAACAAGCAGTTCCAGACTCTTTTGAATATCTCTGCCTTGTTTGAAACGAAATCTGATGAGTTGCTTCAGCTGAACAATCTTATTGATTCACCTTCTGAGATTCTCAAACCAGGTAGAGAAGTTCTTATTCCAATTACGTGCTATTGCTTAAGCAATTAATTACTTTCGGGCAAATTTCAGCTACACGATCCCTGGAAACACATCGTTCCAGGAGATTGCTTCTGGGTTGTTTGAGGGTTTGCTCAAATCAAAAAACACTCAAGGAGGAAAACCCATTTATAGAGAGATATCTTCAGGTTGGGGTTAAAGTTCATATATGTTCCCTTGAAATGTGCCTGTCCTGATAATTTCTATATTAGTAATAGAATTGAGTACCTTGTGACGTACCCTTTTGTGCGAGAGATGGACCAATGATACTCAGTGGAAAATTTAACATCTCCCCTTAAGATTTATGGGAAGCAAATCATTTTGACTCTAAACCGACTATATATCCAAATACGACCTTTTTAGTTCCACTAAAAGGAAAACCCAACATAGTCAACATCACAGATTCACCACCTCCAGCTCCTGGCTTCCTCCCAACAGTTACCATAGAGAAAACTGGGAACACAAAACTGAGGAAATTGTTCATTGCAGGATCAGTTGTTGGGTTTTTTCTGGTAGTTGTACTTGTTGTATTGCTTGTGTGTGGATTATATCTGAAAGCCTTATGCAAATGGAAGCGCGAGCAGTTGCTTTCTTTCAATGGTAGAAGCTCTTCTTTTTCATGTTCAACACCTAGAAGTTCTCCGCGATCTGGTCAAATTGGCAGAAGCTCTGCAACTTCGTGTTTTTCTCCTGATCTTCTGGCTGGGATTAAGTTTTCTTTGAACAATTACAGCATAGAAGACGTAAGGAGAGCTACCAAGGACTTTAGTGAAGAGACAAAGCTTGGCAAGCAAGTGCATAAAGGATTAATTGGCAATGATAAAGTCATGATCAGGCAGATGAAGTTTGATGATATGCGTAGGGTAATTGATGTGCACTCAAAGATCAATCACAAAAATATTGTGAATCTAAATGGTGTTTGTTGTGGAGAAAATGGCTTCCTGGTCATACCTTTTGTTCGAGTCACCTAGCAATGGCTGTTTGAGGAAATGCTTATCAAATCCATCTAATCCTCTCCTGTGGTGGAGGAGGA